GTGGCTACACTTCTTTTTCTTTTCACCATCTTTAATACCACTAGTCACCAGCCATTTACATGCTTCTATTAAACATAAATGAATATAGCTAACTTGGAACTTACCTAATCTAAACACACTTAGGGAAGAGAAAAATATGTTCAAAATGGTTATGCGAATACCACAGGAAGAACTAGTATTTCAGTTGAAGTGATGCCAAAACTTTACATCCTATCTTCCTACTGTCTGCCTGAGACCAGATCTCAAATGAAAACAGAGTTCAACCAACTAAGATGCTGGGTATCTGAATTAAATAACTAGCAGCACTACAATAAATCTCATCACTTGTGGTTTTAAACTGTCCTTATCAGAGCTCCTCCTCCTCCAACTACTTCCAGAGTACAGCTACCTTCCAAATTAATTTTTTCTACCTACATGTAAGTTATTGCACACATTCCTTTTGAATGTGGTCACAGTCTAGTTACCCATACTTTCTGATCTTGAAGTTTAAGTTTAACTGTAAAGTCTGGGTAGACCTTGAAGTCTGACAGCATAGTTGTACAGTCAGTCTCTCAGATGTAGCACAGTGCTTTCACCACTCACAGATGAATTCAGACTTCCTCAAAATCTAGGTTATCAAGGAATAACTTTTTCTTTCTTTCATGTTCAAATATAGCAACTGATTTACAGTGGAAAGTGCAACTTGCCAGTTCTCAGACTCGTCTTTCTCAGTACAATGTGTGGACCCATCAACACATAAAAGTTCGATCTGACACAGACACAGGCATAATGTTAGCTCTTGCTATCATGTTACAAATTAAGCAGTTGTGTACATAGACTCCACCTGAGAGGGAGCAGAAGTCTTCAGTATTGCTGAACAGCTATTAACTGAAGTTTATTAGTTTTCTCTTTTGGAGACCTTTGTGTACCCAAGGAGACCTTTGTGTACCCAAATATGTGTCTGCACTTAGATATAAAGTGCAGAATGTTTCAAAGGAACAAGAGTGCACTTAGGCTCAGTAGCAGTATTTTGTCACGTTGTGAAATCTGTCTGACTGCCCTTCAAAACATTTTATTTACCTGAAGCAGCGACAGTACTATACGACTTGGGCCAGACAGCTATGATAATCAGATCAAGCCCCACTGAATTAAATCTTGCTGAAACACTCTGGTACGAATTCCAGCCTTGAGACGAGGTACCTTGAAACCAGCAAGTACTCTACAACTGCTGAGTGTTATTACTTGAAGAGTGCTTGCCAAATTCTTCTACAAAATCGTATTTATTGCTTTTAACATTACTTCCCCCTCATCTCCAAAAGCAAGGTATTTTCCACTTAAGAGTTCCATATACTTCAGGTATGAAAAAAATGCAGTGCTTTCCCCAGATTAATTCATCAGGCCACAGCATCTAGTTCTTTGGAGACTTTCAGTCTCCAACATATATTCACTAATTAGTACTGACCAGGCTATATTTTTTAATCAATACATTAACTAACAATAGTCTGAAAAGACTAATGACAAATACTATAAACAAGAGTCACCTAAAAATGATACTGATGCAGTGACATAGGGAGGGAACACTTCTTTGAACAGCCAAATACAATTTAGAGCATTAATTTTTAAAGAGCAATAATGAAAAGAAGAATGGATAAAAGTAGAAAAACTTTTCTACACACTAACAGTGTAAGTTTTGCAATTTTTCATTATTTTGCCAAAAGGAATTCTGAAATATAAATGAAAGATAAATACACCATACTGCTTCACAACAAGCAGTACTTGTCATACTACAGTAAAGTCCACTTGATAACTGATGACGTGCATGGCTTACCCCACCAAGAAAATCCCTTCTTGCCTATGCTATTCAGTAGTTTGCCAGAAGAGTTAGAGAAACGAAGAGGAAATCACAGTAAGATCTGTCTCTTAGTATTCGACTGTTCAGATACTTTGAAATTTGCAATTAGGTTATTTGCAATTCTATAACAAATAGTGAACCAAACTACTATTATCTATCTATCCCTAATTTTAGAAGAAAACCTTGTGAATTCTCTGCTACTTCTGTATTGACAATGCAGTCTAATCTTGTATAAACCTGTCACTTCTGCTTCCTTAAGATAACAAAAAGCAGCATAACTTCCATTCCTTCAAGATGAAAAGCTTGAGTAAGACTTTCATAGTACCTCTGTATGTTTTTATATCAGCTCCTCAGCCTGAAAATCCAAGTGCATTATATTTGTCAAAATTACTGTTACTGCTCTGAACATGAGTCTGATGATGGTGAGTTTGGTATTACTTCCTTGAAAATAACATCAAGGAAAGTCTAATTGACTCAAAGTGACAACCTCGAGGAGGATTCTGTGAAGAATTTTTTTTTTGTGACTAAGAAGTGATGCAGTTAAGGCTCTTTAGTGGTGTTGGGGCCACTCCTGTTTAACATCTTTATCGATGATCTAGACGAGGGGATCGAGTGCACCCTCAGTCAGTTTGCAGATGACCCCAAGCTGGGTGGGAGTGTTGATCTGCTCGAGGGCAGGGAGGCTCTGCAGAGAGACCTGGACAGGCTGGAGCCATGGGCTGAGGCCAACTGGAGGAGTTTCCATAAGGCCAAATGCCGGGGGCTGCCCTTGGGCCACAACAACCCCCAGCAGCACTA